AAAAAAAAAAAAAAAATACCTATATTAGGAAAATACATATAGCCAGCAGAGGATTTTTTTTTATTATTTTTTTTGTGTAATTCAATGTGATGCAGAAGGCAGTTTCCATAGTTTCTTGGTTGCTACAAGAATGCTCTCTTTTCCATGGGATTCAGGTTCCTTTACGTGCACGGAAGAAGTCCATCTTATAGCACGAGAAATACGTTCGACTTTCTCGATAACTTCAGGCGAGTCTCGGACGATAACAGTGCCTTCCGGGCGCAACATTCTATCGATTTCCACCATCAAGTCCACAAGGTTACACCTGCACGAAAAAAAGTCGAGAAAAAAAAAAAAAAANNAAAAAAAAAAAAAAAAAAAAAAAAAAAAAAAAAAAAAAAAAAAAAAAAAAACAGCGCTCAGGAGTAAAAATTTGATATCATGAAAGAAAACAAGACAAATGGTAAAGGTACAAATACTATTATTATCTGCATTTACCGTGTTTGAAATGGGGGATGTATAAGAAAACAACTTGTGCAAAAATCAGAATGCAGAATATAAGAGAGACGGAATAAAAACCTGTTCTTTCCGGAAATGGGATCCTTCACGAGCGATTCGATTGCAGCTACGTGAATTAGATCATACGTACGAGGATAAGTCGAGAAAGGTTCACACCTACAAGCATTGACAACAAAAACAATGTATTATAACATTAGACAAAATACATGAAAAAAAAATTCTAGATGAAAAAAGGGGTATACATTTCACCCTACACACACCAACTGCAATGTAGTCATCAGGTTTTTTCAGGATTCAACCAACATACACCCATGTGGGTGGGTGTGTGCTAATCCAACAGTGAAAATGCCCGGGATCTGCACTTTAGTTGTAGGGTCAAATCTCCCGAAAAAGGGTCATCGTTAGCTAAATATGTAGAAGGGGACCATCCTAGATTCTATGTAGTGTTGTTAAATTAAACGAGCCTGGCTCGTTAAGGCCCGAGCCTCGTTCGATAAACGAGCCGAGCTCGAGCTTATTTTAAGATAAGTCTCATTAAGGCTCGAAAAGAGAATTTTTATATAATTTTCTATAGTTCGGTCGTTAAAGCTCAACATCGGCTCGTGAAGGCTCAAACACGGCTCATTATTAGTGATAAACGAGCCGAGCTCGTTTACAAGCCTAATTCGAAGCAACTATTCGATCATTATGGACAAGAAAGGCAAGAAAAACCTCGAGACCTCGAGCACTTTTTTTTTTTTTTTTGGGTAATTTCGATAATTAACCAGGTCTTTTTGTAATAAAGCAATATGACAGTGTACGAATAAAATGAAACTAGGTGTAAGGCACGACAACAATAGTAATTAAAATAATTAATAAGTAAATAAATAAATATACTTCTACTCACCAATCATGATAGGCTCCTATAAGCCCCCTATCATATATGACAGCAAGAGTCGAAGGCTTGCGAGAGGGCACAACATTCATCACCCACACGGGATCAGACACAATTGCAGCCGCGAAACCTCCGAAAAACGCATTCATGTCCATCACGTTCCTTATTGAAGGACTTCCCAATTTCACGTTTAGCGTGTTTTTATAGTAAGCAACCCTTCTAACCCATCTCCTTTTGTCGGCCTCAAACACATCAATCCCGTTTTTCATCACGCTGGCTCTTGCAGGGGCTGAAGTCAGTCTATCGGGCCATTTCGGGATTTTTCCTATAGAAAATTCTCCTTTGATTGAAGATGTACGGCTCATGCATTTCTTCAACTTGGTGTACCTGCAAAATTTCATTCGGTATGTATATATATATAATACGTTTAACAAGAAAACAAGAGGAATAAAGCACAATGTCCCACAGAATTAAGTATTTAACAAACCGCTTTCTAGTCCAAAGTGAAATTCATCTATGCGAAATCACATTTTCCTAAAACACATTATTTTAAGAAGATAATAATATAGACAAACAAAATTTTAATTTCATAATTTGCACCTATTGAGGGGAGTGTCATTTGTAACGCACGCAAATCTTCAGGAGTAATACCCCATGGTAGTATTCGTAATTCTAAAAGAAAAAAAAAATGTTTTCTTTAATTATTTTCTATATAAATAGATAGCAGGCCGATGCATTATTACCATGCAAAACTTGGGTCGTCAGATTCGGGACACAAACTGAGCCCAAATTCGTTTTGATTGGGAAGGCATGAATCCCCAATAGGCTTTTTCCAGATGGCGGTGTTCCCATCCACAACGATAAGCTCATAACACAATGATCGGGCCACTGCCTGCAGATCGGCCCATTCCTTATCTTGTTTGGCCCACTGCACGGGTGGCCCAGAGATGACCAGGTAACCTCCCGGGCGAAGTAATCTATCAACTTCAAGAAAATATGTTGCATCTGCAAATAAATAACCAGTCTACATAACTCACAAATAAATATAAGAGAACCAAGGCATAAATTACAAAAAATACCCATGAAGTTTAGCCTAATCATAGTTTTAAATGGCGAATGGCGAGGCGAGGCGATTGGCGTCACAAGGCGAGGCGAATCGCCATGGCGAGGCCTCGGCAACACAAGCCGTCGAAGCTTATATATATATATATATATATATATATATACAAACACACACACACATTTAAGTTCAACAACCAACAATAACCTTGGATTTCCTAAAAAAGATAATATAAATTAATTTAGCTGTAATTACTAAAAGCATCTAAAACTTAAATGTGAATAGTACATGTAACATTACAAAGTAAAAAATTAAAAATTTACACTGTGTAATAAACATAAAATAGAAAAAAGTTAAAGAAGGCAAATAAAAAGTGTAAAATAAAAGTAAATGATAGAAAAGAGACACTGTGTAGTAATTTTTTGCTTTCGATCTGTTTTAATTTTATTCTCTTTCCAAAAAGTGTCGCTTTTCTTTTTTTTTTTTTTTTTTTT